GTGTGATTTGTGTCCATTTCCTCTAAACAAGTTCTCGCTCCTGTACTGCAGGGCCTCTTGACCATACACCATTCCACTTTTCCACCAATGGAGATTGATTTTTAGAAAATGTAATGCATGGGAATGAGTGTATGAAACACAGTATGAATGAAGAATAATGTGAAACACAATGTATATGAACTTGGTGAGCAAACCGACACAAAATTTAAAAAACTGAAAAAGATTCAATGGGAAATTTATTGAACAACACAGGAAGCACTGAAAGAAGATAATGTTCTTGTATATACTGTCGGGTAAGAATCGACTTACAGCTGATCCTCCCGAGGCTTTTCAGAGGCTGTAGATTACACTAGTAGATGAGATTTCCCATCCTTCTTCCATGAAGCAGCTGATGGATTTGAACTGCATGTCTTTGGGTTGGTACCACAACTCCTTACCAATAAGCTCCATACATATAATCATTGAAATGACTATACATTTAAAATACATATAAATCATTATACATTTACAATACATATAATCATTGTCCAAAAAGAAATGGTCGACGCTGAACTATTCCCAGAAACACCATATAACCAAGAACCAATGGTACTGAAGAAGGAAGGCCAGGCTGCACTGAAGGTGTCAACAAAATATAAGACTTCAGGAGCTAATGAAGTATCAACTGAGGTGTTTTAACAAACAGAAACCTGGACAGGTTCACGTGTCCATGCTAAGAAATTCTGGAAAACAACTTCTAGGCCAAGAGATCTATACTTTTGCCTATTCTCTCTCTTTTTTTTTTTTTAAAAAAAAGTAATCCAACAGAATGAGGTAATTATAGTGTAACTAATATCACATACAAGTAAAATCTTGCTAATATTAATAAAAAATTGTTGAGGCAACATATCAATAAGGAACTGTCAGAAATTAAACTGGATTCAGAAAAGGTTGTAGAGGAGGGCTCTTGGTTGAAAGCAAAGAATACCAGAAAGACTCATACTTGTGTTTTATTGACTATGCAAAGGTATTTCACTGTAGATTATAATAAATTTGGATAATACTGGCAAGCAAGGAATTAAAGAATACTTAATTGTGTTCAGGTGGAACCTGTACAAGTACAAGAAACAACTGCTTGACCAGAACAAGAGGATATAGCCTGGTTTATAACCAAGACAGGTATGCATCAGGGCTCCATCTTTTCATCCATCTTACTCAATCAAGCAAATAAGCGAAGAAGTTGGACAAAAGAAGAATGAGACATCAGTACTGGAGGAAGATTCATCAACCACCTGTGTTATACAGATGACACAACCATGCTTGTGGAAGTAGGAAGACATTTTATCAAACATCATAAACTAGAGCTTTTGGTACAGATTCCATGTCATCTTAAAGAAAACAAAAATCCTTACTACTGGACTAGTGGGCAACGTCATGGTGGAGAAAGGCTAGTTACTAATGATTTCATTTTCCTCGGACCACAATCAACACACAAGACAGCAGCCGTCAAGAAATCAAAAGACATGTTCCATGGGGAGAATGTGCTGCCAAGGACCTCTGTAGCTCGCTGAAAAGATGTCCTTTTAAGATCAAGCTGTGCTGGTTTTCAGTTATATTCTATGCATGTGGAAGTTGGACAAGTAATTAGGAAGGCTGAAGAACAACTGATAACTTTGAATCACGGTATTGGTGAAGTATACCAAACTGCAAAAAAAACCAAAACCAAACCCTCACCCCTCCAAAACAAACAAAAACCCTAACAAAGCTGTAGAGCTCCACAGAAACACTGATGCTGAGTCTTCATCTTACATACTTTGGCTGTGTGGTCAGAAGAGGGCGGTCCCCGGTAAAGGACCTGCCCTATCCTGAGCGGGTCTCACTGATTCTGACACGCCTACCCCCATTAACCTAGTTACCCATCTCACACAGGATCTTCCTCTCCTGTGCTGTTCCTCCACCCTTCCAAGCAGGATGTCTTTCTCCAAGGACTGGTTACTCCTGGCCCGGTGCCCAAAGTATAGGAGACAGAGTGTCAAAATCAGCCTCTCAAAGGGAGTTCTGATGGCCTAGTGGCAAGAAACTGCACTGCAATCCCAAAGGCATGCGATTCGAATTTACCAGATGCTCTGCTGGAGAAGGAAGGGCAATCTCCTCCTGCTTCAGTCAGATCGTACTTGATGGTACACAACAAATAAAAAGGGGGTGGGGTGGGAATCTTAGCCTCTAAACTTGGTTTCACTCTCTCTAATACAGACCTGTTTGTTCTCTAGGCAATACATGGTATGTTAATACTCTTCTCTAGCACAACTCAAAGGCACTGATTCTTCTGTTATCCTTAGTCCCTGTCCAGCTCTCTGATGCACAGCATGTAACTGTGAAGAGACTATGGCCTGGATCAGGTGTACCTTAGTCCCTAGACTGACATCATTACTCTTTAGCACTTTGGAGATGTCCTTGACAGCAAATTTCCCCAATGCAATCTGTCTATTGCTTTCCTGACTGCTGATGCCAATAGTGTTGACTGTGGAGCTGAGCAAGCTGAAACTGTTAACCTCAATCTCTTTTCTATCTATCATAATGCTGCCAATTGGCCCAGTGGTGAGAATGTTTGCCTTCTTGATGTCAATCTTCATTCCATATTGAAGATATGGATTCTGCAGCAAACACTTCAGGTCCTCCTCAGTTTCAGTAAACAAAGTTTTGTCATCTGCATAACTTAGGTTGTTGATCCTGATGCTACATTCCTCCTCATAAAGCCCAGCTTCTCGAATGATCTGTTCTGCACATAGACTGAAAAGGTGTGGAGACAGAATGCATCCCTAATGAACTCTTTTCTCGATTTTGAACCATGTATTATTACCTGGCTCTGTTCTGAGGACTACTTCAAGGACCAAGTACAGGTTTTGCATAAACACAATAGTGTTTTCTGGGATTCCCATTCTCCTCAAGGTTTGCCACAATTTGTTGTGATCTACACAGTCAAATGCCATTGTATAGACAATGAAACAGATAGACATTCCTTTGGTACTCTTTGCTTTCAGCCAAGATCCATCTGACATTGGCGATAATGTCTCCAGTGCCACTGGTTCTTTTAAACCTACCTTCTATTTCTGATGGTTCTCTGTCCAGTCATTTTTTATAATCTGTAGCAGGAGTTGGCTTGTGTATGTGGTATCAGGGATACTGTTGAATAATTTCCACTCTGTAGGGCCACCTTTTTATGGAATGGGAATAAATATGGATATCTTCCACTCAGGTGGCCAGGTAGTTGTACTCTAGACAACTGTTATGTACCACAGCTGAAGTTGTGAGGATGGTGAAACAACACAGGCAATAAATTACATGGGAAGGACACTGCCCATCTTTGTCCTGGAGAGCAGCTGTTGGGATTCATAGCATATCCCTTTAGGTTGTCGGCGCAACTCATTACCACTAGGCCACCAGAGCTCCTTCAACATTGGTGGTGGTGTTGTTATGTGCTGTCAAGTCGACTGTGACTCACAGTGATTCTATCTTGAGCCAATCTCGCTATCTCTGACTCCTACCCCCACTGCCACAGTCACTGTGTCAGGCCATTTCATTCAGGGTCTTCCTCTCTTGTGCTTACACTCCACCGTTCCCAACATGATGTCCTTCTCCCAGGACTGGTCCTTCTCAGAAGCATGCCCAAATTATGTGAGTTGGAGCAAAAATTATCACTGTACAGCTTGTCAATTTTAGCAAGCAAGCACCTAATTCAAGGAACATGCAGACACCCCTTTTCATTAGTGGCACTTTGAACCCTCAACAAGCCCAGGAGCTCTTGTTTACTGGTTTTTCTTTCCTCTTTCCTTTCAGTGACTAGATGATTGTTACATATTAAGATGGGTGAAGGGAAAGGCAACAGAATAAGGGGATGATTAGCACAGTGTCACTAAAAAAAGGAGGACAGGGGCGTGCACAAGGAGTCAGAAAATACTAATATACACACCATTTTGCATTATAAGCAATAATAAACATTAAAATGACACAATCTTGCTTGCTGAAAACGAGGAGGACTTGAAGCACTTGCTGCAAAAGATCAGAGACTACCGCTTTCATTATGGATTGCACCTCAGCATAAAGAAACAGTAATTCTCAACACCGGACCTACAGGCATCATTATGATAGTAGAGAAAGTCTGCAGCCAGGGAGTGCTCCAAATTAGGAAGTTATTTTGAGGATTAAAATGCAGCTAATTCAGGCCATGGTCTTTTAGATCCCTCGCTGTGCAACTTAGAGCTGGACAATGAATAAGGAAGACAGAAGAACTGATGCCTTTAAGCGGTGGTGTTGAAGGAGAGAACGGACTATCCCATGGACTGCTAAGAGAACACAGATGTCTTGGACAGGGTGCTGTCTTAGGGGCAAAGGTGATAAAACTGCATAATACAATCTCTGGGCACGTTGCTAGGTGAAGCTATGCCTTGGAGAGGGCCAATGATGCTTGCAAGGGTGGAGGGTGAAAGGAAGATTCCCAACCAGGTGGCCTGACACAGTGACTGCTGCTAAGGGCTCAAGGATGTCAGAGATTGTGAGGATGGCACAGGATAGGACAGGGTTCAGATCAGTTGTTCATAGGGTCGCTACGAGTCGTACTCGACTCGACCTAAGAACATGTAGAGAGACAAGCAAGACAGGCAAGCAAGGCGAAGCATACATCTGTGCAGGTGATACGATGCAGGTGAAAGGGACCGGACACAGGTTCAGCAGACAGTATCTCTACGTTCGTAGAAAAGACAAAACAAAATAAAACCGGGCGCTCAAATTCTAGCTCCTTCTGTTGCAGGGAACGAGGTGCCGGCAGGACAGAAAGCTAGGGAAGAAGGAAAGACAGTCTTACCGACGAATTTAAATCGACTCATGACTGCTGACCCGACTCCTCCCCGGCGGAAGCGGAAGCGGACGTGCGGCCCCGCCCTTCCGGCGCTCGGCCCGCCCTTCCAGCGCCCGACCTCCGCTTTCCCGGGAGCCCTCGCGGCCCCTGAAGGTGATCGGTGATCATGGCCTTCTCGGCGCCGACCGCCTACCTGACCCACCAGCAGAAGGTGTTGCGGCTTTACAAGCGGGCGCTGCGCCATCTCGAGTCCTGGACCGTCCACAGG